AAATGGACTCATATCTCATACTGCCATTGAGTAATATTTCTGTGAATAATAATGTCATTACCAATAAATTTGTATTAATTATTAATGGTTTTTGTAGATACAGCTTGAGGCATTTAAGAAGAGCTACACTAATCAATATCATCCATTTCTGGTCAATGTCACCTTTAATTTGTGTGACATTTTTGCTAAGAGAAACTTTGTATCCTACGGAACAATTTTCTTTAAGATATTAGGCAAATATTCCAATATGAATCACACCTGCCCATACAAGGTAATATCCACTTGATAATTCTTGATTTAAAGATTAAAGAAATTTAGTTTTTACATTTTCAGAATCATCTATTTGCAAGGGATTTGCTTATTGATGAGAATCTTATTCCCATTTTGCCTCTAGGCTCTTACATGTTTTCCCTAAAAATTTTCGAAGGGCTTCCAAACAGACCTAGCATTGAAATTGGTGTTATCAAGTTCTTTTTTATAGCAATGGAAATGATCAAAATTAGGGAAAAAAAGAAATTCAATAATGGAACCACAATAATGCCCAGCAGAGGGTAATACTTGAGCTATACAAAGATAAATTTAATTAAAGCTCACTTTAGATCAAAAATACTTTGGATCTATAGCTATTGTCCGAAAAACCTTTCCACACATTTTACTTACTTTTCGCTGCAAAACTGAATAAATGTATTGTGACCTCACTCTGTGATTCTCATTAAACTGAATATTTTTCAACCTTAACGCGAAGTTGAAGGAAGATTTTAATTAAACACACAACATAAGCTTTAGCTACAAATTGTGCGTGTTGCTTAACTCTGATATCAGATCGACTACTTGATTGTAACAATGCACACGTTAATTACTTTAATAACCGCACGCCACAGTTTTGGACTCAAATATGCATAAGCACATACATATATATATATATAAATATATAAATATATATATATATATATATATCTATATATATATATGTAAATCATATGCTTCGATTAAAAGTATTTATAACGATAATCGCCAGCTATTAAAAAGCTGTTAGTTGAAACTTTTTTAATGGAATTTAAAGTATTTCCCAAAGTCGAGAATATATATAAGAGTTACAGAAATTTCACCCGTTACCAGTGAACGAAATGTATTGTCGAATCGGAATTATTTTGTACTTGTCGCTCCTTAACAATATGGTAATATCAAATTTAATATATTACAGTAGTGTAACTATATTATATAATTATTATATATAGCACGCTGATGCCCAGGTTGTGTATAAATCGACAAATATTGAGTGCTTTCCTGATCCAGCATTCGCGGAAAACTCGACGAGTTACCTGAAGGCTGTTAACTGGAATAAGGCTCTGGTCTACATGGACTGTGATCTGATTTTACCTCTGACAAATACATCGGTAATTAGGATATTAATATATTTAAACTACAGATTTATATAAGTATATCTTTTATTTCATTTATACAGGTACAGATTGAGCTGTTTAAGCGCAACTACAACAATCGCTATCATCCGTTTCTGGTCAATTCCCTTGTCAATGTTTGCGACCTTATTGCGAAAAGAAGTTTTATGCCGTACGGAATGATGTTTTGGAAAGTCATCAGGAAATATACAAATGTAAATCACAGTTGTCCTCTAACGGTAATAGTCGAAGGCTTATTTAATTGAGAAACTTTTTATTGAGTTAATGTCTCTCAGGGTCATTTGCTGGCTAGAAATTTGTACATTGACGAGAACCTGATGCCAAGTTTCCCACTTGGCTTTTACCTTATTTCTCTTAAATTCTTCGAGAACTACGCAGATCGACCCACCCAATTCGTGGGCACCGTAAAATATTATGTTAACATTAAGGAAATGGTAAAAATTAAGCAAAAGGGAATTTTATCGAATACGAAACCATAGGATCAACTAATATAAATAAATATAAAAAGAAATTCTAATAAAATAATATTAAATAATATATTATTACAAATAAATAATTTACATAAAAAAGTAAAAATTTAGTAAAAATAATATTAAATTTTATATTATTAAATAAATAAAAAGAGACTTTAGCAAAAATAAATTCAAAATAAGTAAACAATCGAATTAAAAATATTAAAAATTATTAAATAGAATAAAATAAATTTTTATATAGAAAATATTATTTAATAAAATTAAATATTATATTATAAATTATATATTATATTATAAATAATAATAAAAAATACAACAAAATAGCAAATATCAAAAATAAAATTAAAAAAGTAAGATAAAAATAAAATCTACTACCTATTAAAACAAATAAAAAAAAAAATTTTTAAACTAATTTTCGACCACGTTTGATAGAGACAATTAACTGTCATAATTGGCCTTTTATGCTTTCATTGAATATGATATAAAAAGTATTAGAAATTCATTTGCAAACACATTTAAATATATCTGAACAACAATTTCTCACCTTCCGCAACAATTATAAACAATATTTAATAATGATGTTGACAACGTGAACCACTTGCGGAAAATATCGCTTGATACTGGTTGATGTGCTCCAATTGAAATCATTTTCTCTCAAATTTACAGAATCATTATTTAAGTTTTACCCAATTATAGATTTAAAGCATTGAAGCAATTTAGATATTTATTGATGTACACGTTCTTATTATGATGATTTTATAACTTTTCGCCTCATTTATTACGATTTCACAACAATTAAAAATCACTTTCACTTTCTTTATATATAGGGCAGGGATTGTCATTCGAAAAGTGAACAGTCGACGAAATGTATCTGCCTTGGATGGTCTTCATAATCTTCTGGCCAGAGTGGAGCGGAGTAAAAATAAATCTGAGTATAGAGAGCTATAATATATTGAAGGATTTTCCCTTTCCAGGCTGCGGACCCAAAGATCGTATATAAGCTTACAAATATCGAATGCACTTCCAACCCGAATCGCGTTGAGAACATTTCTTGTTCCATTAAGGCGATCAATTGGAACAAGGCAGTTGCTAAAATGGACTGTGATCTCATTTTGCCACTTCGCAATTCATCGGTAATATTTATGATATAATTAGCAAGTTCTTATAATTGAAATTCTGTTCATTCTAATTTATATTGCAGGTCCAGTTTGAGACATTTAAGAAGGGATACAGCAATCAATATCATCCCTTCCTAGTCAATGCCACTTTCAATATATGCGACATCGTTGCTAAAAGAAGCTTCTTCTCCTACGGAACACTTATGTACAAATTAGTCAAAGAGTTTACAAATGCCAACCACAGCTGCCCATTTGAGGTAAAATAATATTGCAATAACTTACTTTATGAGTTAGCTAACTTCTTGTTCTTTAACACATACAGAATCATCTGATTGTTCGGAATCTCTCACTCAATGAGAACTTAATGCCAAATTTTCCTTTGGGCGTCTACCTGTTTTCCGTTAAAATTACAGAGGGCTTTGCAGATAGACCAAGCGAACTAGTCGGACTTATCAAACTTTATGCTCAAGCCATGGAAAGGGTAAAACTAAGGAACAGAATCAAATGCAATAGTTCAACTATACGAACGCCCAGCCTAGTTTAATAATTCATCTGTTCAAGCTATGATACAATCTCTAGTAAAAAGAACTTCAAGTACAATATTGTCTAATTCTGGGTAATACTTGAATAAAATATAATTGAAGCTGATTTTAGATGGAAAATATATTCCGTTAATATGAACAAAAAGTGAAAAATATATTTTGATTTATCACCTTAATTAATAAATTAAATATTATATACAGCCTATATAATATTATCTGTAGCTTATACACCTGAGTATCAGTTCCAAAAAAAAAAACTTTTAAGCTATGATACAATTAAGATATTTACTAATGTTCACATTCATATTACGATACTATAAGTTTTCGCCTCATTTATTACGATTTCACAACAATTAAAAATCACTTTCACTTTCTTGATATATATAGTGACGGCATTGTCATTCGAAAAGTGAACAGTCGACAAAATGTATCTACCTTGGATGGTCTTCATAATCCTCTGGCCAGAGTGGAGTGCAGTAAAAATCTATCTGAGTATAAGAGATGTGTAATATATTAACGGGTTTCCCTTTTCAGGGTGCGGATTCAATTATCGTGTATAAGTTTACAAATGTTGAATGCACTTCCAACCCGAAACGCGTTGAGAACATCTCTTGTTACATTAAGGCGATCAATTGGAACAAGGCAGTGGCTCAAATAGGCTGTGATCTCGTTTTGCCATTGCGCAACTTTTCGGTAATAATTATAATATAATTTGCAAATATTCAAATAAATATTTCATCGCTGATTTACGTTGCAGGTCCGGTTTGAGGTATTTAAAAAGGGATACAGCAATCAATATCATCCCTTCCTGATCAATGGCACTTTCAATGCTTGCGACATCTTTGCCAAGAGAAGCTTCTTATCCTACGGAACACTTATGTAACACATACAGAATCATCTGATTGTTCGGAATCTCTCACTCAATGAGAACTTAATGCCAAATTTTCCTTTGGGCATCTACCTGTTTTCCATTAAAGTTACAGAAGGCTTTGCAGATAGACCAGTCGAACTAGTTGGAATCATCAAACTTTATGCTCAAGTCATGGAAATGGTAAAGCTAAGGAACAGAAACAAATTTAATAATTCAACCACATGAATTCCCAGCATTGTGTAATAATTAATCTGTTCAAGCTATAGTTTAAGAAAAAAGAGTTCGAAGTCATCCATTTGATTCCGGATTCAATGAATATCAATGCTATAAGAACTCGAATGCTTTATATATTATATGGCCTATATAATATATATCCTATAATTTATGCACCTGAGTAACAATTTAACTTTTAAGCTATGATACAATTAAGATATTTATAAATATTCACAATTATAATGCGAAAATATTGTGAGTTTTCGCCTCATTTATTACAAGCTGACCATAATTAAAAATCACTTTTGCTTACTCTATATATAGTGCAGCCGTTGCCATTCGAAAAATGAATAGTCGACGAAATGTATCTGGCTTGGATGGTCGTCATAATCCTATGGCCAGAGTGGAGTGCGGTAAAAATCAGTCGAAGTATTAGAGATGTACAATTGATGGCTCTTTCCTTTTCAGGGAGCAGATCGTAAGATCGTATACAAAACTACAAATATTGAGTGTATTACTAACCCGAAACGAGTTGAGAACGTCTCTTGTTACGTTAAGGCGATCAATTGGAATAAGGCAGTTGCTCAAATGGACTGCGATCTCATTGTGCCAATACGAAATTTTTCGGTAAATAATAATATCGATTCAAATTCTGATTTTTTATTGCGATTTTATGCTGCAGGTTCAGTTTGAGGCATTTAAGAAGGGCTACAGCAATCAATACCACCCCTTCCTGGTCAACGTCACCTTTAATGCATGTGAGATCATTGCAAAAAGAAATTTCTTACCCTACGGAACACTTATGTACAAAATAATCAAAGAGTATTCAAATGCCAACCACAGCTGCCCTTTTGAGGTAAGATTTGATTGATAATACTTGATATATCAGCTGATTGAATTGATTTTCTTTGACACTCACAGAAGCATCTAATTGCACGCAATCTCTACATTAATGAGGACGTAATTCCGATTCTGCCTTTAGGCTCTTACTTGTTTTCCGTAAAATTCACGGAGGGCTTTCAGAATAGGCCTAGCGAAATAATTGGTACAGTAAAGTTTTATTTTCACGCGATGGAAATGATTAAAATGAGGGACAAAAAGAAAATTTAATATAAAATTTAATTTAATTATTCAAGCCTAGTGCAATGCTTTAGCTGTATTAGTGTAAATAAACTAGGATTAATGAAGCCTATTTTAGATCGAAAATACTGCCAAAGCTTTCAAGTCACTGCCAGAGTTTCAGAGTCTCGCCGACTCAACTGTAAATTGTGTGTTTTAATTACTTTTTGATGCGTTTTACTTCAGGCAGATATCAGATCGATTGCCTCATTGTGGCATAATTACTTTAATATCCACACGCCAAAGTTTCGTCCGGCCACTCAGTTGTGTACGAGGCGCGAGCAAGCTTTGATTTATGCAGCCGGGAATAATGGCGATTTTTTATTTCATTCGGGAACCGGGAAGTCTGTACGAATGCGTCACTCTGATTAGCCGGGTGCAGTTCGTCATGGGCTGCACTGGATTCTTTGAGCGTGGAGGCCGCTTTGTCAGCAACAAATGGACGCGTCTCTACTCCCTGAGCTGTGCGTGCCTGGCACTAGTTGGCTTAAGTGCCACCATCTATGCTTTGGTGCGAACTGAACTGATGCGAGAGCGAATGCAGCAACTGGACAAGCTCGTACTGAGCATCATGGCCATGGAACTGGTTCTCTCCTCACTTGTTTTCGTGATCACAATGCTCTCGCTGCACTCCTGGACGCAGCGTTATGTGGCCATCTATCAGCAACTGGCTGAGATCGATAAACAGTTGATAGTCGACTTTGGCGCCCGCATGAACTACGGCAAGGTGCTGCGCAAACACATTGTGGTGCTGTCCACGGTCGCAGTCCTGTACTTGGGCGCTGTGAACATGGGTCTGGCGCGCCTAGCCGAGGGCCATCATTTGGAAATCGTGGTGCCCGCTGCCCTGTGCTATATAATTATAACAGGTGGTCCGCATCTAACGGGCTTTGTGCACATGAGCCTGGCCGAGCTGCTGGGCATAAGATTTCGTCTGTTGCAACAGATTTTGCAGCCGCAGCGACTGCTCAAGCCACAGCTGGAAAGACGCTTACGCTCTTTGGTCGACATGGTTAAGCAGCTGCATTATCTGATCATGGATATCAATGACGTTTACAATCTCACCTTGTGGTGTGCCATGGCACATGATTTTACCCTGAGCACGAGCGAGCTCTACATCATATTCGGACGCTCGTCAGACATAAGCGACAGCAACCAGGATGTGGGCGAGACGATGGGCGTGATGCTAATGGCTTTTCTCTCCATCTGCATGCTGGTGCCCGTCTACAAGATGCTCATCGCACCTGTCTACTGCAGCAGAAGCATTGAGGAGGGCCGCAAATGTTTGCATTTGCTCGAGCAGCTTGACAACTGGTTTCCGGGGAATCCAGCTATCAAACAGCTCGTGGAGTCCATAATGCGCTGGCGTTTGCAGTACAAAATCGAGTATACGAGTGGCAGGAGCACGGTGCTCGATAAAACCGTTATTACCTTGGTGAGTGGGAAAGAGAAAGAGAGAGAGTTGGTGTGAGAAAGACGAGAGGAAACTGACTAGACATTTACAAAGGCTTTCACTTGTTGAAATTGAAATCTCAAATCTTTGGGTAAAATTAATCTAAAATAAAAAATCGAATTTAAAATAAAAAATCTTAAAAATCTCTAGTTCTCACGCAGATATCGTGTGTTGAGCGCCCTATCGATCTTTCAGCCTTTTTTCAGTAGATCGAAAAACTTTTTTTACATTTTTAAAAATTTTTAAAAATTTGAAAAGTATTTCTAAAAATGTTTAATAAATTTAAAAAAATGTTAAAAATTTTCAAAAGTTTTAAAAAGTAATTAGTTTAGTTTTTGATTTACTGAAATAGTAATTTTTTATAATCTTTTTGGGTTTTTGGTGCTACAGACACTAAGGAAGGAATTGCATTGCAATTTATACTTTCAGAGATCTTATTATTGTTTCTTATGAAGTTACTTGCTTTAAGAAAGTAAAAAACTTGGATTTCTCTTTCAGTATACCTCGATTGTATGCAACTATTTGCTGGTGCTCATCTCATTTGCCATGACGCAGCAGCTGGGCGAGCAAGTGGAACAGCAGAAGGTCGCTCTACAGGATTGGATAGGCATTTAAGACAGGTACACACACACCCACACAGAGACACACTTATACATATATATAGTATATCATTAGCTAAATTAATTTACGGCTCGTTAACATACAAACTCCATAAATATGTCAGCGGAGGGCTGCGCTACTGGCTGCCACTGCACCCAGGAGGCGGTTGCTGGCTAATGATTATAATGTTTGTCGTTTATTTTATTTGAATTTTATGCAAATGAAGCGAGCCTCGAACGGGCAATCGACCAGCCAGCCAGCCAGCCAACCAGCCAACCAGCCAGCCATGCAGTCAGGCTTTATCATTGCGACCATGCCTACAGTGCTTTATTGAGCCTCATTTATGGGTGGTGCCACGCCTCCGCCACGCTCACTCCTCTCATATTGTGACAGTTTTTTCTCCTTGATTTTAAATTGTTCCTTCGACAAACGCAACAGAAATGCATTACAAAATATTTGTTAGAGCATTAGACTTTGATGGGCAACATTATATAAAAGAGGAAAGCTTAAATTTAATATATTGGAAAATGCTTTTCAGTGCTTATTAATAATTTTATCAATATGTGAAACAATTTTAGATTAAAGTAAAAATATGTATTTTTAATGGAGACTAATTGAAATTATGAGAATCGCAGAATAAGTCATTGAATTCCTTAGAATCTCAGGGTAATGTTAAGTATCGCATACATCTTACTCTCAGTCTGAATAAATTTAATGAGTATGGCGATTTAATTTGTTAATCATTTATGAAACTGGTTAAGCGGGATAAACTTCGACTTGATATACAGAGCCAGCAAAGCCAAAAGTTCTATGAAGTATATATCATTGATCAGTTTCAAAAGCCGAGCCAAGCCGGGTATTTTCTAGTCAGTCATTTCCCACTTAACAACACAGCTATTTGTTTACATACAATTTACTGCTACTACTATACTCTAGTCTACACTATAACTCTCTGATCCACTTATATAAAAAAAATTTCATACAAATTTTAGTTCATAATTATTTGAAATAAAAGACGAACAATAGAAAAAGCATTTCGTGTGTGTCCAAATGCCCATTTGCGATTATATCGACTACAATTTGCTGTCGAAATAAGCCTAATAAATAGAGCATTCATTCATGTCGGATGCGTGGCATAAATCCAGATAACAAAAGCCGACGTAATTCGAGCCAAAAAAGAAGGAGAGAAATAAAATTATTGTGAGTGAGACGAACTGAACGAGATTGCTGCTGTTATATGGAATTTATCGAGCTGTGCGGGAGGTGGGCAATGGAAATGGGCAATGCGAGATGGGAGAGGCAACCTCAAGTATTTATTGCAACGCATATTTACGCCCATCAATTGGGCAACGCGTAACTCGAATAGCTGCAACATTCCCAATGACCCATTGACGTAATTGAATAATATTTTTTCTCTCTCGGCATTCTTTTTGTTTCATATTCGCCCGAAAAAAAGAAGAAAAAACACATTCCATGAGCTTCATCTCTGTCTGTCTCTCCGTCTCTGTGTTGGGCATAAATGCAATCATATATCGGTCATATAATTTGCGATAATTGCTGCATACCATGCGGCGGCAGCAGATGAAGCGGAGCAGAAAGTAGTGAAAGAGAAGCAGGAGGGGGAGAGGAGGAGGATATAGAAACTTGCCAACATATCGAACTGTTTTTGCCATTTAAATGCGCACAAGAAATAATGAAAAAAAAAGAGTACTACTCGAACTGAATCGGAAATTAACAGCGCGCACTTAACATATGCCCTAATTACCACGAGGGTTCTAAAAAATCCCGTATTTATAGAAAACATTTCACGATTCTCGATAAAAACCGAAATATCACGATATGATAATTGCCCATTTACGGTCGAGTTTGTTTTTGCTGAGTTCACTAATTGAAGGCAGTTTTATTGGGATTGATGTTAACACATTATGAGAGAAAACTTTTAGCATAAAATCGAAATATATAGCTTAACATGCTGTTGTTAATGAGCCATGACTGTTAACCGTTTGCATAACAAAGTCTACTGTTGAGCTTAACATGCGAATGTTATTAGTGATGTCAACTGTCAAGCTTAACATGCAAATGTTATCAGCGCACTAAAAGAGCAAATGTTAACAAGTGTAAGCTGTTACATATAACATATACATGTTAAGCCTTGTGCGCTGTTAAACTGTTAGCATTAACAGCGCATCCCTGTTAGCAATTTATATGCGAAGTAGGAGAAATAGGTAATAGAAAGTGAAACTTAATAGCTAAAGTATATGCAGCATATATTAATGAAAGTGAGAAATAATTATTAAAAAAGATAAAACTGAGATTGTTGAATAAAAAATGTGAGCTGCATCTCATCTATAAGATAAGGCATAGTGAAAGTTAAGCAAAAAAAGTTAAAAAGCGCATGCTGTTAACTTTTACATACAAATGTTAATGCGAGTGCCGTGTAAATAGAATTATATAAACTACTTTGAATGCTAACTGTGTGTAAGTTCGCATTGAGTTGCCTGGCTTGAGAGTAATTCAAGGATCTTCTGTGAAACATTTCATCAACTATGCACACATAGCTATACATATATGTATAAGTATGTACATATGTATAGACACAATGGCTTATGCACGTGACAATCAGTGTGTGTGTCAGCTGCGGAGCTTTTGTAATGCTGGAGCCAAAACTCATAACAGCATTACCCGCTTTACTTAACTAACTCATTTAAAAGTTTCACTAATAGCATGTCACACATGTGCTTAGCCCAATTAAAATGTGGTCAGGGCGTGGCACATATGCTGCCCGCATGTGGAGCGAGGGAGTGGGGAGGGGCGGGTGCACAGATAGCAGCAAGGAGTCTACAGTAGAGTGGAGCAAGGCATCTGTTCTATTTGATGCACAAAAAGTAACTGCAGCACAATGCGTGCGCCATTGTGTCGCGGCACGGCCTGGCTTTTTCCATTTATATTTTTAAGTTTTTTTTGCTTTTCACTATTTTGAATACCCTGTAACTATGAATGGTGTATAATGAATTTTGTGCATATGTATGTAGGCGTGGCATAGAGTATGTACACTCATCTGTCACTCTGCCTGCCCCTTAATCTTTTTGTCCTTTCGCCTGGTTGTATGCACCACATAAATACGTCTACCTCGAGAACTACGAGAGCTACAATTTTAGAATCTTAAATATATATGCTCACATAAAGGCTGCTGTAAAAATATATACTCTTTATTTGATAGCTCTTCCATTTTACTAGCTATCGATAAATATCGATATTTTGTCAGGGTTTTGATTGCATAATTTTAACACAACAAAAGCTAGAGCAACGAGATTTGGTATTTATGCTTATGTTACTAATATTTGCATTTGCAGGGTATTTTGAAGTCGAGCACTGGCGACTAGAGCACACTTTATAGAACTATCTCTCGTACTCTTCGCCCTCTCTCTTTCTCGCTTAACTTAATTAGCAGACGGCGCATTTTTAATGCGTGCTGCAAAGCCTTTTTGTCGCACCTGCATAAGGAATGCGAGCACAATGAAATGTTTAAACGGGGTCTTCTCGCTATATAAAGAAAAGAGTGGAAAAGAGTAGCATAAAAGGATAACACAGCGAATTAAGGTTAAACGCTTCATTATAATTATGCGGCTCAGCGATTTGGCATTTACACATGTGGCCCAACTGAAAAGGACAGCAGCACGCATGTCCTGTGAATCATATAAATCATCATAAAATACTCAGCTAATTAGCTTTAAGTGTTCTCTGCAAATATTTGAATAGTTTATTGACAAGTCAATCAAAGCAGGACACAGACACACGCACACAGACAGATGCATTTATTTGCATATTTCACTTAAAGTGTCAAGCTAAGGATACACAAGGACACGCAGACAGGCAGCCAGACAGATAGACAGACAGCGATGTAGAGGAAACATTTCTGATTGTCAACGACACTTGCAAATTATCAAAACTTTTGTGTGTTTACTCGACACACACACACACACACACATAAGTGTGTGCACATCCTGTGCGTGTCCTTTTTGACTCTTTTGGCACAAATTTATCAAAGCTCAAAGCCAATTCAAATGCAAATAGACAACGTCATATTATTTGCCAAATATTTAAATAACATTTCTATGCAAATATTTGCCAATTGACTTGCATAAATTTCGTTATATATATATATAAATATATATTTAGTTAAAGTTGTTTGTTTCTCGTCTGCTTAATAATTACCAGAAATACATAAATTGTGCGTAGAGCTTAGTTGACTGCAGCTACTTGTAAAGTTGTTCATAAAAATGCATTGAATGCCGTAAATAATAGATATATCTATATATATGACTTATAATAAGAGAGCAGAATATGGCATACTCATATATGTTTCAATTACAAATATTGAATTTGTTATTAAAAATATACAAGCTGAACTCTTTGAAAAGGATATGACAGCTTGTGCATGAGACGAGCTAAAGGAAGTTTAAAAACTTTATTTAAAATATTATTTTAAATATTAAAAACTTTTATTAAAATATTCAAATATTAAATAGTTGCTAGTATTTTATAGACTAAGAATGACTATAAATTTTTGAGCTTGACTTGAAATAAGTTTATATTGTAACTCTATAAACTCTATATACTTAGCCACTCGTCTGTCGAGTAGTTGTCGTCTGATTAGTGGAACAGGTATGCAGGTTCGAACACCAACATTGTTTATGAATATAGCCAAAGATCTTAGTCAGTTAGTTCCACATAGTTAACTTCCCCTTAAATTACATATCTCCTTATGTAAGCAATTTTTCAGACAGCCCTCGTACGCACATACATGTGCAGCAAGTAACGCTTATTTAGATACATTTTGCCGGAAGACTTTAAATGCAATATATGAATATGAATTTATGTCTATCGCTTGCAGCTTAACTTCATCATTTCTTAACAATATTCTCTGATGAATTGATTTTTTAAGCATAACTCGTGAAGTATAATAACTTTAGTCCGTAAATGTATTAAGTGGAAGCTACTTAAGCATATCCACA